TAAAAATGACCACTTCTCTGGCATCTGAGTTCAAGTTTAGTCTAAATGAGTCTTTCGGTCTGAAATTACAAGCCTGTGCTTATTTAGCGTAAGGAATGATTTATGGGGCTTCTCAGTAACCTGTAAGTACTGAGAGAACTGACTTTTTTTGTAATCTGAGAAAAAAGGCGAAAGTTTCACAGATTTTTTTTTTTAATTTAAGTGGTTTTTAGTATCAGATATTTTTGAATTCTCCTATTGACTTTAGGAGGCATTCCAAATATTTTCTGGATTTTCACAAACTATTGTGAATGTGAGTGAGAAACATGTAAAAAATTTAAATCTTGATTGAAAAGGAGGCCAAGCACAGTGGCTCACGCCTATAATCCCAACACTTTGGAAGCTGAAGCAGGAGGATCCCTTGAGCTTGAGAGGTCGAGGCTGGAGTGAACCATGATCCTGCCACTGCACTCCAGCCTGGGCAACACAGCAAGATCCTGTCTCAAAAAAAAAAGAAAAGAAAAGAAAGGAAAAGAAAAAAGAAAGAAGAAAGAAAAGAAGAGAAAAGAAAGAAAAGAAAAGAAAGAAAAGAAAAGCACAGATTTAAAAAAATCCTACCTGCCTTTACTTTTCTAAAGTGTTACCAATTCATTCATCAGCCTATTGACTTCTGATGTTCCACCAGATAAGTCCTCTTGTATATTTCAGTTATGTAAATTATATGCCAAATTCAAAGTACTATAATAGATGACTTACTAATTGTTTGCTCTGGGCTACAATCATGCTCTTCTGCTCTTCTGAAGCATTCATACTAAGTTTCAGTTCCTCCAGTTCCTCTTTTAACAGATTTGTTCTCATAATAGCTTGGTGGGCACTGTGGGGGTGGGGGGAGAAGGCCATGAGCAAAACCTCAAATATAACCGTCAAAGACACTAAGAACAGCCAAGGACTATTTTGGACCCAAGTTGAAAACCACTAAAGGCTTAAACCAGATGCCCACAATAGTAAAAATATACCCATGATCTTTCAGTCCTTGGAAAAGGAAGGAATTTGGAGAAAGTGGGGAGTGGGGAATGGAGACTAGGGGGAAAACAGACAAATGTATTCCTGAAGCTAAAGATTTAGAGGATCCCTTTGAAATTCATCACTGGCTGAATCACCTGGTTCTTTCCCCCTACTAAGACGTAATGTTAGTTAATGCTGTTCCACAAATATTTATTGAATAATACCATGTTCTAGGTGCTCTACAATGCAGGCTACAATGGTGAACAAAGGGACATGGTCCTTGGCCTTATAAAGCTTACATACTATGGAGAAATATGACAACTAAACAAATAAATAATTACCAAGTCTCTATATGACATATCCTATAAAGAAGTTTATCATACTGTTGATTATAACAAAGCATTGGAAAAAAACCTAAACATCCACCAACAGGAAACTGATTAAATGAATTATGGTAATCCATATCATGAAATTACCTATTTGCAGCTCCCACTAGATTATAGACTGTTCCCTTAGGAACAAAGGCTTCAAAGAAGATACACTTTTTTTCCTAAGAAATTACATTGATCATTTAACAAATACTAATTGAGGGCTGAACCTGTCCCAGGCACTGAGCTAGGCATCAAAGAAGGGAAGAATGACTGAATCCAGAGAACTCTACTCATCTGGAGTTTCTAGCCTAGTGGAGTAAATAGACAATCATAATGACAATACAGTATGATAAGAATCAAAAGAGATATGGGTTTCCGGCTTGTAGGCAACTGGAAGGAAGGTAGTGCTGTTCTACAGTAGATATTCTACTAAGCACTAGGCTAAACAGGATGAATATGACATAGTTCCTCCCATCAAGGAGGTTACAGTGATATAAACAGGAGGCAGGGAAATACTAGGTAGAAAAGGGCAGGGTCCCTGGCAAGGGCTCCATCCTCAAGCCCTCCATGGCCCTAAATGAGAACTTTGCATCCCCGTTTTCCCACCTGAATGTTGCCTTTTGGCCCACCACGCCCCCATCCTGTACCCATAAAAACTCCAAGCTCCACTGGCAGAGGAGCAGAGCAGCATGAAATAGAAGGAGAAAAGAGAAGAAGCTCTGAATGTCAAGAGGAGGAGAGGCAGTTGGACATCAGAGACTAAGGTCAGAGAGGAGTTTGGCCAGGGACTGTCGGGCAGGAGTTTGGCTGGGACAGCTAAACTCCAGGGGAAGATTATCTTTCCAGGCCATCCCCTTTCCAGCTCCCCATCCTGCTGAGAAGCACATCCACCACTTGATACAATCTCCACGTTCACCATCCTTCAAGTCTGTGTGACCTGATTCTTCCTGGATGTTGGACAAGAACCCAGGTACCAAGAGGGCAGGATGAAAAAGGCTGTCACCTTGATCCTCCACTGAGCTAGTTTAACTCTTAGCTGTCCATGGATGGCAAATGCTAAGAGAGTATTACTTGTAACACATGCCCTCTGGGGCTCCAGAGGTTGTGGGCAACCCCTAGATGCTGCCACAGGCTGGTACAGGGTTTGTGCCTGCTGGCACCCAAAGGCACTCACGCTAGCTCCTACACCTGCTCACCTGCATGCTCCCCCTCCTTCAAGGGTTTGGAGCGTGGCAGCTGAGCAAACAAGCATCCTTGTTGCAAGTCCCACAAGGGGGTCAAGGGAACTCTCCTGCCTAAACATTTAATACAGAAAACAAATTACACTATGATGGGACAACTAGACAGTATCAAAACTAGGTCGCGGGAACCCAAAGGAAACAGACACTCTTCAGAAAGGATTAGGGGAAGGAGAAAAGAGAAAGACACGTGGCTTAATTTTGTAGACAGTGGCATTCTGATTGCCCATCTGGATTCTCCAGCCTTTCTGTCCATTATGTAAGTTACTTAATTCCTTTCAGATATGTTTCTTGACTGCTTATTTAACCAGAGTTAGATTCCAGTGCTTCCAACCAAAAATCCTGACCAACACATTCATTCAAAGCAGTTTTGTTAAAGAAACTTTGAATTGGCCGGGCGCGGTGGCTCAAGCCTGTAATCCCAGCACTTTGGGAGGCCGAGATGGGCGGATCACGAGGTCAGGAGATCGAGACCATCCTGGCT